CGCACACACACACACACACACACACACACACACACACACACACAGAAAGAATCTAAGAAACCTGTCACAATGTGACTCGTAAAGTACACTATTATATAGACAAATGATAGGATGTATATGTAATAAACATATTCACTTTTGCAAATTAAAACCCAGTATTTGCAGCACATCAAGCAGTATGAAAGACTGAAGGTCAAACCAGGTATTAAGGGGAATTTGTGCTTCCTTGCATTAACTTTTTCCCTTTCCATAATGGGATCTCTTCAGAGAAATATGCCCCAACAATCAGATTTGCAGATGAGGATTGTGTTCACCTTCCCGTGATCAGCAACAAAACAAGGCATGCTAAAATGTAGTTAAAAGGAAGCATGACCTTCATCTCTTGGATGAGCAGACTTTTTTTTTTAAAAAAAGGGTACATTTATCACCTAATTTGATTGTGAGAAGCTAAAGTAGTGGGTGGTGGCTGAATCAAGGGGAAATCTAGATCACACAAGATTAGCTCCAGAGCATATTTGATAGCAAGCTTCAGCAGAAGAATGCACAGAATATTTCTCAGAACACACGCAGAGTACATTTTTTACAAGCACTTATAGATTAGGAGTGGAAAATTGTGATCCTCCAGATGTTTTTATACATATGAAACACCCATGTTCCCTCATCACTGACTGTGATGACTACAGCTGGTGGAAGCCATAGTAAAGATACTTCTAGAGGCCTACTTTTGCATATCTCTGCTCTAAATAAAATTATGCCATTTCTAGATGGGCTTGAGATGTAATGCCCACCAATTACTTGTTCATACTAGCAGTCAACTACTTAAATCAGGAAGACTCATGATAAGCGAATTCTGATCCAGTAGAGGTCTTTTTATATTATTCCTTAACTGCTTTTACACATCATTTACCCTCATAAATGAGGCAATGAAATTCCCATTTTACTGTGGGGTAGTTACATTAAAACCAGCAAGGCTAAAACTGGGTAAGTTGTCATTGGAATTTGCCATAAGAGTCAGAGATACTTGTGCACATATTGAGGCTGACAATTCTAAAGGAAAGTGTGTGTGTGTGTGTGTGTGTGTGTTTTCTCTAGTGGGCAAACTCCACCAGAAATGGCGTTGCGTGTTTTGACCCAGAGATGATATTTAATTGGAAGCTCATACAGAAGTTAATTAAAGCACTGAAGCTACTATGATGCCACGCCTAATCTACCTATGTAAGATCCATGAATTATTCTAGTTTTCAAACTATCCTAAGGCAGAGCCCACTATTTATACAGATCTGACATTCCAGTATATTTAGATAACAGTTTTCACGACAGCCTAGTGACTATCATATATACTGAAGATCTAGAACCATTGATAGAAATGTACAGGTGAAGGCCGAAACTAGTTGTAGTTTGTAGACTCACAGACTTTTATTGTGCTCTTCACAGAACATTAGGATTAGTTGCTCTTAAGTCCCTCTGAAATTACTGAAATCTGGTATGCTAAACCTAACTTACCACAATGATTCCAGACCTTAACCAGGATTAACTGTAGCTAATGTATCTTCTAAATTGTAATGGCCAAACCCAAATTTGGTACTGTGGGTTTCCACGCCTTCCACACCCATTCCCCTTGATCTCAAGTAATTTCCAGTTGATCTGAGGCACACTTGCTAATCAGTAATAGCCATGAGCACTGGTTCTCAGCTACACCACCCTGAAATTAATTTTAATTTATTTATATTTAAGTAATTAATTAAATACTAAATAATTCAGTACAGGTATTTGCTTAAATAATTCAGTACAATGTATCTATGTATCTGTCTAAGGAATTGTGAACTCCATATCCTCAGAGGGAACAACCCTCATAGTTATTCAAGAAGGAAACAAAAATATTTCAGTTGCTGAGATAGTTATTCAGTTCTGTTGCACTATGGTTGTCTGACTTTTTCCCATTGCTTGAATTAGTAAAGCAAAGCAGAACTTGAAATGAGTCCAGGGGTTGTTTTTCCATGATAATTGTAATAAATAAAAATAAATGTCTGCTTTCAAATCTGTTTTGACTTATGGTAACCCTTTCCATGGTTTTCTAAGTATTTATTTATTTTATTTATTCATTTATTAGATTTTTATCCCACCCTTCTAGACTATGTCTACTCAGGGCAGCTCACAATAAAATTATACATAAAACAATTTAAACTATGAATTAAATCAACCATGTTAGTATTGATCAAGATGGAAAATAGAGCAAAACCCTAAGTAAAAGTAAGAGTCAAGTATTGACAGGAGGGAAGGCCTGCCTAAAGAGCCAAGTCTTTAATTGGCTCTTAAAAACACCCAGTGAGGGTGCCAGGCAGATCTCTGATGGCCAACTGTTCCAAAGCTGATGGACCACTGCCGAGAAGGCCCAGTTTCTTGTTCTTTCTTTCTGGGCCTCTCTTGGCGTTAGGCCCCTCAGCCATCTTTCCTGGCTATAGCGAGTGACACGAGTAGATCTAGGTGGGAGAAGGTGTTCTGCTAGGCATCAAGGTCAAGTAGAGAGTATTCTGAAATGATTTGCCATTCCCTTCTTCTTGAGGTATTCTTGAACTGTGCAGGTTGCCCAAGGCCACAGAGCCTGGCTGTACTTTGCAGGAGGCAAAGTGAGGAATCAAATTCCCAACTTCTGGCTCCACAGACAGATACCTAAACCACTGAGCTATCCAGCCAGCTAATAATTGCAAATAGGGTCCTATTTCTACTGATATATGCAGCAAAATAAGCAGCCTGATCCTGATAATATTTGGTTAGATGAAAGATCCCTCATAGTGCAACAGAACTGAATAACAATTGACAAGACTGCAGAAACCTTATCCAAATTGCAGCTCTTCAGATATATTGGTCTATGACTCTCATAACTCATAGTTAGTGTGGACATCAGTCAGGTGTGATGGGAGTTACAAACCAAAACATGCGGAGAACCATCAGCTCATGGAAAGCTGTGCTACAATGGTATGCTTATTTACTAAAAGAAATGGGATTTATATTGGGGGTGTGTGTCAAACGTTTGAACTTGCTAGTTTATCAACAACTGTCTTTAGGCTGCCCTAAAAGAAAGGTACAGCAAATGAAAACAGATAAGCATCAGAAAAAGCAAAATGTTCAGCAAAAACCTTCCTTATCTTACCTTACAGGTGCATTGTCCTGTAGGATCAACACATGAACATTTTTCCGTTTCTGAATCACAAGTATTTGGTTCAGTCCCTGCTATCAGACATTCACAGGCAACACATTGTGGGAAACCACGATATCCCAGCCTACATTCAGTACATTTCTCTCCTACGAATTCTGGACGGCAGAAACAGCAGCCAGTGTCAGGGTTACACTGCAAACTGAGGGACCCAACTACACTGCAGTCACAGGGCTAAAGGGGGAAAAAAGGAAACTTATTTGTAAACGTTTTCAATAATTTTGTATATGGCTTTCAAATGTTAGCCAAAACACAAGAATGGGTGAAGCAAATTACTAACTGTCAACACATTTATAGAAATAGATTAGGCAGTGTTTGAGGTAGACAAAAAGGTCACAATAATTGGTTTCACCTCTTCAAAACTTTGTTGTATGATTCTTGTTTGGTTTGTTCTGAAGACTATGTTACCTTTGAACATCAGGAATAAATGAAAGGTTGGGGAAAAATTCAATGAATTTGCATTGCTTTATGTAAATCCCAATTTTTATACCTCCAGAAGATGCCAAAAGAATTAAATATATTTTGTAATAGAAATACACATACTTGTGGAGCTTTTGATGGTTTTCAGAAGAATAAAATGTGAACAAAATCACATGTATGCTTAGAAATGTGTAACAACACATTTTGTATTCTACATTGGACAATAATTTACAGTATATTTCCTATTAAATATACATTAAAGATACCTCTCAAATAAGTAAGAATAAGTGGTTTCGAAATAAAGTGTTGGAAGCCTGCAGAGGTCATACATTTAGTATAATTTTAAAATGTCATCACTTTGAATGTAGCTGAGGTTGTAGTTAAAATTTGTTTTATGAATGGAAATTAAGAAAACTATAAATTCATAATTAATTTTGGGACTAACCCATACTCAAAAGAAGATACATTCTTGCTGGCATAATCATAGAGATCCTGCGCACTGTGTGTATATTCTCTGTGCTACTTCAATTTAGCCATTAGTATGGAAGAAGAAAATTTGCATCAAGAATTGTGTGTTATCTTAAAAACTAAGACCAAAAGGTACAATGTTGGACAGGGAGGTTTTGGCTAAAACTGAAACGGGGAAACGGTTTCAGGGAAAGGAGATGGAAAAACAAAACCTTTTATTATGCACATCAACATCACATTACACAGATTACTGGCAACAACTCAGATTGAATTTGAGGGTGGGGCTGGGGAACAGGTCCATAGAATGGTTAAGATATGGCAACCGAAATCTGAATTGTATATATCTGGGACCACTATCAGTTAAGAATTGCCTGGCAGGCTGCTGCACTGTCTAAGAATTAAAGCCTGTTTGGAGCAGGAAGTCTGCACGGTGAGGAGTGCCAAAGGATAATGTCTCCTGGGCATGTTGTTCACCATATGCAGAGTAAATTACCATCAAATGTAATGTTTGTTTTGCAAGGAAGCAGCTCCTTGCAATATACCCCTGCCAGTGAGTTATGACTGGCTCTGAAATCGGCTCCACTAAAAGCTCAAGTGGAAAGGGGGCAATTGCACCTTGCCTTGGAAAAATGAGTTGCAATGCCTTAAAAGGGGAGACTTGGCTGACATATCATTATTAATTTAGAGAGTGCTGTAGCAGCTGCCATACTAATGCACTCGTATAATAGACAAGGCAAGGATGGATAGGAGAGATCCCAGAGCTGAAACAGGGGTCTTCACCCCCATTAAGCTGGCTTGCAAAAGCCTGGTGATCTGTGTGCAGAAGAAAGGCAGAGGTTTTTGGAGAGGAGCTTTACAACTCAAAGAAGAAAATAAATTATTCTGCATTAATTAACTTATTTTAGAGAGCCATGAAAAACAGCCCTTGAAAAGAGAGCAGGGTGGCATTTGATTGCTCACATTCAGGTAACATATGCCAAAGAAAATCACAACAATGTTAAATTAAACCCCTTTAAGTTGCTATTAATTATCATTTGTACAGCACTTTTAATGTGATGTGATTGCAGTCTTTATCATGTTCATTTTTAGTACATCCCAAAAAGAAAATCATTCTGATTCTTAGTGCTATGAAAGGCACATGGAAATGAGAGAACATAACTTGTGACTAAGGTGAACCTATGGAAAGGTAGGAGGTGAATCACATTCAAACCAGAAAGCTCTTAGTATGAGCACATTTAAATTTAGTTCAAAAAACATAATTTTAAGAGTCGTCACAAGAGGTAATGATGAGCAATAGTTTAAAGGGGAAAATTACAACTATCAGATACAGGAAGGAAGGACAAATGACTCTCTCATACTTATTTTTAACTGTACCAACTATCCTCCATGGATTCAAGATAACAGGCATGGAGATTATTATATCTTCACATCAACTTGGCAAGGTAGCTTTAATGAACCACCACATTCCATATCATGCACAATTGATCTCCCAATTTTTATTTTTTATATTTTTTATTTTTTGTAGCAGAAATTAAGCAACATTTCCTGACTGTCCAGTTTAGCTTCCAGAATCTTGTTTAGAGCTCACAAAACCTGAAAAGCCAAACTGACCTTTCTCATATTTCTGGTTCCCATTTTTAACTTAGAATTAAAAAATTCCAAATGCATCTGAATATATCCCGTAAACAAGAGACAGCAATTGTCACTGAAATGTATGAACTGTAGAGAATGAGACACTCAGAAAGATATTAAAATAACGCATAGAATGAAGAAAACTTTGTCAAACACAACCCAGTAATTGAGTTCCCCTTAATTTCACTTTGCTTTTGAAAAAGGGATATACTATAACCAAATTGAGACTGATTGGGTTCTTAGAATTTTGCTGTTTAACATGTAAAATAAGTACATACATGCACGTGCAAAATATCAGACTTTTCTGTGACCAGAGTAGCAGATCCAGCTCAAAATACAGCTCATTGTGTTTTGGTTCCAGTGGGTGCAATTGATGAAACAGACAGGGAAGGAAAGCTTATACTGAAAACACAGTTTTACTCACCTTGCACCCACTGATAATATCATGACCCCAGTGATTTGCTGCACACTTTTCGCATCTTGGTCCTACTGTGTTTGGAGGACAGATGCAACGGCCAGTATGTGGATCACAATTATTACCAAGATGGGAACACTCACAAGCTTCATAGGGAAGAGAGAGAGAGAGAGAGAGAGAATTTAAAAAGTATGAAATACACTTCTGAATATATTTAGAGACAGTAAATTCATGATGAGAAATCTATTATGGGTTGAGGAACAATAATTGAACCACATGCCATGGATTCAGCTGGAGATAATCCAAGAGTTAGATTTTGTCTAGAAAACTAAGAATAAACTACATGCATGCTTAGCGCTTGAAGGGGCCATCCCAGTTCTTACTGAATCCTGACTTAGTACACCCAGCAAAAAGTAGTAATGCTCAGCTGAAAACACCTAGACAGCTCCATCTGTGCACCTACCTCTTTTCTAATAATATATGAAATATTGAGAAACTGCTCTATTCTAGACATATAGGATCTGGTCACACTGACTGCAATCTCACAGTCACTTATTTGGTAAATGAGTAACTCTCAGTGTCATTGTTAGATATACATAGATTAGATATACATAGGATTTCATTGTCAATTGATGCAGTGAAGCGTGAAGTGATGGACTTTTTCCACCTTAAGATTGGAGTCATTCCTGTCTTCAGCTTTCTGAAAGAGACAAATATCAGATTGGCCTCAGGGTGGCAGGGAAGAGGGAAATTTAAATTGGAAAAATTGCACAGAAGGAAGAATTTAAAAGTAGCTAAAACCACCCCAGAGATTTGCAATTCAAATCCACTCTTTTCCCATAGTTCTTATGGGAAATATCAATGAAGATGAACAAGAGGGTGCTATTGTGTCCTGCCTGTATGTAGGCTTCCCATGGGTATCTGGTTGGCCATTTAGAACACTGGTTCTTAACCTTGGGTTACTCAGGAGTTTTGGACTGCAACTCCCAGAAGCCTTTACCACCAGCTGTCCTGACTGGGGTTTCTGGGAGTTGCAGTTCAAAAGTATCCGAGTAAGAAGGTTAAGAACCACTGATTTAGAAGCAGGATCAAGGACCATATACACCTTTCATCTGATCCAGTTTAGCTTGTCTTATAATCTTGAGTATACTTGCACCATTTGGCTTTTCACAGAGTTCAGCATTTTAAATTCTAATTTGTCTCTAATTAAAATGATTAAGTAACATGTTATGATGAAACTAGTTTTCCCTCCAAAGAATTCTAAAAAATGAAATGCTAGAATTTATTAGATGCAGAAACAGACTCTTGTGGCATCTCTTGTTCTTTGCTCTTTTAAAATGTCAATAATCTGCCCTTCTCTTGTTCTAATATGTATTTCCAAAATGATACCAAGTTGTACTTCTTTCAACTAGATTTCATTTCAAATATTCAGTGGCACCAGTCTTATAGTTCTTTACTATGAAGACACATGATGTAAGGGGGGATATTCTGTATATCTAAAATCCAGCCAAAATTGTAGTTCATTGCTGCATGGCATGGATTAGGACTGTACAGACAAAATTATAACATCCAGGTCCATCTGTTAACTCTTTGGTGGGGAAGACTGAGTTTACAGCCACTTATTCTTGTCCCAATGAAGTGAAAAGTATTGACAAGGTTGACAGTAGTCCATCAGTTTGGCAGAGGGACTGAAGATAATCCTGCTGTACATCAGTAAGCACCCAAAAGATATATCAAGGCCAATATGCTTTTCATTCACAACTTTCTAGAGGGTGTTCATATTCTTCCCACGTGCTACTCCCTCTAGTACAACAGAGTTACTCTGCCCCAACTCATGTTTTATTTATGGAAAGCAAATAAATACTGAAACAAAACCAATTGACCTTTTAGGTATTTTTTTCCCCTTTCACCTCTATAACAGAGTCGGTCTGAGCAGATGGATTTAAAGCAGCACAACTTGCCAATCTGTATCTTACATTAAATGTCTGGCCAAATACAGGAACTCCAGTATGTACTAAAAGGATAAGAAAGTAAATTCCAGCCAAACATTACAAAGGACTTTCTGATAATAAATGCTGTTCCACAATGGAATATATTACTTGAAAGGTAGTGGAGTCTCTGCTGCTGAAAGGTTTTAAACAGATGTTAGATAGTCCTCTGTTGGGGATGCTTTACCTTTGAAATTCCTAGACATGAAGAGGGCTGGACTAGATGACCTTTGGAGGAACTTCCAACTCTATAGTCCTGTGATTATATTATTCTAACCACATTAACGGATGGAGCTACATGTGAACAGGGTCTCTATCAATATCCTACAAGATTCTTCATATGTCTCAACTGTTAACTTTTAAAGAGGCTTCTTCAACATGAAAAAGTGTGGGAAGTCACAGCTCACAGAGATCTCTGTAAACCCGTGAGAGCATTGCCACGTTTTAGATCACAGGTGCTATTTTCTACCATTTTTTATCCATTGTATTTGCCATGGTGATGCTTCACTCCTTCCCTTTTGTATGTGTGCTCCAGTGAAATTTAAGGTAAAAATGTCAGCCACTGTGTATCATTCATTTCCATCAGTGAAAAGATGGTATTTTATACTGAGGTAGATGTGCCAAACCTAGTTATTCTTGAAGAAAGTTTTCAGAAGAGAAAGCAGTTTTCTGAACCTGCCAATACTGCAAAAATGATGGATCACAGCACAAACTTTCTCCATGGTTCCCCCCCCCATCTTTATTTGTGCTAAGAGCTTTAAAACTACAGTTACCATTTGTTTATCACTTCAGGCTTTCTCTTCCATGAATTCCAAGTACTGACATGTTAAAACTTAAAAGTGTAAACCTTTGCATAACAATAAACATGCCTTTTTTCTTGTACAGGGAGACAACTTCAAAGAATCATGGTTCTGAATCAAATCCACACAAACCATGTTCCTCTGTCCACAAAGGCCACATCACAATGCATTCCTAAGTACACGTCTGTACTGAAATAGGTCCCACTTGCTGAAATCCTATTGCTAAGTTTAGTAAGTAATGTTAGAGTAGGTTCACTGAGACAATGAGGATTTGTAAGTTCCACTGATTCAAATCGGCCTCCTCTAGTTGTGACCATTTGATTCAATGGAAAATATGGTGAAGTTGACTTACAAAATCTGCACTTATTTAATGGCCTAGTGTGAGTATGCAACAGGATTTCAGCCTCTGAGTTCAGTGGGGACTACAGTACTTGTAAGTACATGGATATAGGATTGCAGCCCTAACAGTCTTGAAGCTGCTGCCACACTTAGGCAGAGGGGGAACGGATATGTATCAGGACATAAATTGACATTAGAGGTGACTTGTGGTGAGAACCCAGAATTTCTTAACTGCTGGGTGCACAGAACAGGAACTTTCTGATCCCACTTAAATTAGCTTGCTTGGTTTTGTAATTGGTCTTAAGGATTTTAATAAAAAAATATAAATGTATCCATCGATGTGGGGCAACTGAAGAACAACACAGCCTTAGTAATAGATTAAGAAACAGAAGAACCGGTGATTGGGAAAGTTGTGGATTCTATTGTTTTTCAATTTTTAAATTATGACTCCTCAGTCCCCTAGCAATGAAAACATAACTTTTCTATGCTTTGAATCCTACACGATTATTTCTGTGTAGACATGCATATGACTACCTTTTCTTTGCCTCTAATTCTGAAAAACTCACCATATGAGCAGGGGAGTAGCTGGACCAAGTAGCTCTGTGCTTCATTGTGCATTGCCACATCACTTCCCCTAAGCAGGCATCCAAAGGTACAGAGCAAAGAGCTGCAGCAGGGAGACCCTTGCATGTACTGCTTTACTCACATGACCATGGCATGAACACATTCAGCAGTACACTCAAAGGCTACAGCATGGGAGATGTTCCATCTATACCAGTGGATGACTGCCATATAGGTAAATAATATTTTATAAGGATATGTCTTTCTGATTATGTTTTTAATGAAAAGTAGGTCACACGAATTACTGCAGAAGGAGGGAAAGAGTCAGGCTTAGAAAGCAACAGTTTGTATCAAACACATACTATTAAGAATATAAACTGACCAGTGTAATTGCATCTTTTGAATGTTTCAAATGGAGGATAAAATAAAGGCTCCCTAACTAGCCTGGCGTGCTCTGGTCCATGGGGTCACGAAGAGTCGGACACGACTAAACGAACGAACTAGCCTTTGTTATTCTTTTCAATTCTCAGCAATTCTACCTGACTCCAAGGCTTGAATCATAATGTGCCTGCAGAACTTGTTCCATTGATTACTGTTAGACTGAGAATTGTCTTTTTTAATCATAAAGGTCCTACCCATCTCAAAAGCCCCATGAGGACAAATGCATCTTGTAAAGAGAGGATTCTGGTAGTCAAAGGATGCAGTGGCTGAAATCCTGTTGCACAGATCTGTTTGTACAACAGGGATGATGTCATCATCAACAACAAACCACTGCTGGTTAAAGGCAAAAAGCTACAGATTAAAGCTGATTTTACGATATAAGCAACACATAGCACAATGCAATGAAGTCACATGCAAACCTGAAAGCCTTTAATCAGCTACGTATAATTTGTTACTAATGATGACTTTGCCACTATTTTACATAGGGAGCTGGGTAACAGGGTTTCACCCTATGTTACATCCAGTTTTGTTCTCCCACCCCCAATGCTTCTGAAGTTAAAGAGAAAACATGGAAATAAATTAGCATAGGGTCCAGCAACTCACAGGATGAACTCATAGTTCGGGATTTTAGGAGGTTTCCTCTACATTGTAAATCCTTTTCCAATTTTCTACATTAATCACAGGATCTGTGAAAATGAATCCTTAGGCTACAGCTCCATGTTTTCCTTAGAAGGGAAGGGAACATCTAGTATTGTGTCATTTGAGCATCGCCAGTTCCTAAATAGGACGGTGAAGAATTTAGGCTGGATGTGATGTATATGCTCTATTGTTTTAATCTATAGCTTAGAAACATCTACTAATTTTTCCCAGAGATTAATATTAATATTAATATTAACACACATATTTTATCAATTTCCTATATCCATGTCTATTAAGTTTCCTTTATATGGTAAGTTATATAGAATAACAATGACTTATTTTTTGGCTGGTAGGGTTATGTACATGATAAATATGATAACTATTAACATATAGCCACATTTTATTTATTTTAGTTGTTAAACTCGAAAGAAAAATCATCTTCATTTCTGGCAGTTATGGGACCCTCTCAGAAGAAAGCAAGTCATAAAAAACACAGAGCCTGCACACATGCATAATAAACAAAGAAAAAACCCACATAGCTATTATAACGTAACAGTCAGTTATAAAACATACGGGTGCATCCTCCTTCTTCAAAGCTGTAAAATCCATGAGCACAGCGGTCACACGTCTTCCCTCCAACACCTGGTTGGCAGTGGCATTGTCCAGTCTCATCACAGTCAAAAGATTTGGATCCAAATGAATTACAGTTGCATGGTACACAGCCTCTGGATGATTGTACACCAAATGTTCCAGACTGTCACAAAAGGCAGAAATAATTACTGAGCAAAAATAAGAACTACAAGGACACACAAACATGCCTGAGTGACACACAGATTTTAAAGGTAGATATGAATGCAAATCTGAAATACAAAGAAATCCAAATCTGAAACTTGAGAACTTAATCCGTTTCAAGCAACAAACAATTTCTCAAGCAACTCAAATTGAAATCTGAGTCATTTATCTTTCATTATATTTATTTTCAATTATACTTTATTTTATTCCTCTGATGAGCTCATACATGTCCCTGCCCCCCATATGCTCAAAAAGATCCCTGTGAGGTAGTTTGTGATGCAAATGATGAGGCCAGGTTCATCTACAGAGAACTGCCTGGCCAAGTGAGGATTTGAACCTGCATCTCCCATGTCTCAATATACCACTCTAACCATTATACCACATTGTCTCTCATCATGATTTAATTTCATACATTCTAAATTTTAAGTATATGGGCCACCTTGCAAAAGTATCTCCAGCATTTCTTAAACACCTAGGTGAAGTACAAAGGGGCAGTGTTGAAGCTGAAACTTCATCAGCCCCTTGTATTATCTTAAGGATTTGGAACTACAGTGGGGTCTTAACTTGAGAACTTAATCCGTATTGGAAGGCGGTTCTCAAGTCAAAAAGTTCTCAGGTCAAATCGGCATTTCCCATAGGAATGCATTGAGAACCATTTGATCCGTATCTGCTCTTTTCCGTCCATAGAAATGGGAAGCTGCTATTCCGCCTTCAACCACTAGAGGGGGATATTTTGTTTCTTTTTTTCTTAGGTCAAGAAAGGTTCAGGGACGGCAGGGAAAATACAGTCCAGGCAGTACAGTACCAGGCAGTCCGAAGACTGTCTCCCAATCCACTCTCTAAATGCTGGGAGGAGTGAGGAAGCAGACAGGCACCCTTTTCACTGGCCAACAGTTAACTGAAAGTTCACATTTTGCACTTTCCCTGCCTCCCATGTGTTTTTTTTTTCAGTTCTTAACTCAAATCTAAGTATGTAAGTCAAGTCAATATTTTCCTATGAGAGTGGTTCTTAAGTCAAAATGTTCTTAACTCAAGTCGTTCTTAAGTCAAGACCCCACTGTAAAATAGCAGCTGTCGCTTGACTGGAGAGTGCAACTAAGCCATTATTTTATTTTACATTTGGCTTTATAAACTATGGTCTGTCTTCAGTGGCCTGTAGAGGATGTGGCAGATAGTTGTGTCAAATGTGAGAGAGGGAAATTCTGTGATAGCCTTTGTTATCCTGCCAGTTCTACCTCTCTTCCCAGGCAAAAGATGAATATCAACTCAGCAATAAAAGCAGCCACTAATTACTGCTGCTTGAATGGCTTGAATGATTAATTTGAGGAATAGTGCATATTGAAGAGCTAAGAGTCAAACTAGACTTTGTCTGGAATGTTCATTACCTATGATTAATCTGTTTTCATTCCACAATGGGATTTCCTCACAGATACAGTACTTGACTCAGAAATCACACTTGCAGATTAAGCATGTTTTTGCCTTCCAATGACCAGTCACAATACAAAGCCCAATAAATGCAAGATGCATAGATGAGAAAAACTATGTGCTAGCCCATGCATTTGAGAAAGACTGCACTCATACACTCACACAATCATGCTAAAATAAAATGGTTAGTCTTATAAGTGCCATATGGCCTGTTAGTTTTATGATTGACGGACATCTTTTACCACCAGAGGGATCCCCTATTCTTAAAAAACAAAACAAACCCACAACCCATGGTAAATGTATCATGTATGGTTTGGTGCTAGGATTTACTAAGATAATGCAGCATAAACCTCTACTTATGACAATAGCAGTGCAAAAAGAAATTTGATCCAAGAATTGCCATGAATAACAAAAGGCATAAAACACATGGAGGGCTTTGCTCACTTTAGTGTTGAACTCCAAAAAGGGTACCTGTGGTATCTGGTCATATGGCTCAAATACTGAAGCTTTCAATTTAATCCCCGGGACAGTTTACTGCCAACAGTTATCCCAGTCATCTGTTACAACAGGTTTTATAAGCAGGCTGACTTGAGATGGGTGGGGAGAGCTGTGGACCGGATTCATTAGACCTGGCTCTATCCCTTGCTAGTCTCCTGTTCAATGCATGAACTTCAGCCCTATGATCTAATTCACTTCAGCATGGCACTAACTTCTAATTCCTAAAGGTAATATGATGTTGTTTAAATTCCAGGTCCAGAAGTTGAAGTTTTTTCATGATGGAAAAATTACACACATTAAAGATGCCATATACCTTTTCACTTTTATGTATTGTGATACTTATTTAATGATGGTGAATAATAAAATACCCATGCTGCATATTAATAGTAGAACCCTCTATTCAACAAACTGTACAATTCATGAGTCCGTCATAAAGAATCTTGGAAATTTAAAAATCTTGAAGCACTATCACTAAGCTGCTTTGGCATCAACAGTTTGTAAAATGGCCATTAACCTTCCATTCAAAACACAAGGATGTAGGAAGATCTTTGAGCATACTTAAGCTCTTAAGTATGCTCCCTGGAAAAGACTCCCTGGAAACTCCCTGGACCCCCTTTTCCACTCCCTGGAAAAGACCCTGTTGTTGGAAAGTGTGAAGGCAAGAGGAGAAGGGGACGATAGAGGACGAAATGGTTGGACAGTGTCATTGAAGCTACCAACATGAATTTGACCCAACTCCGGGAGGCAGTGGAAGACAGGAGGGCCTGGCGTGCTCTGGTCCATGGAGTCATGAAGAATCGGACACGACTAAATGATTAAACAACAACAACAAGCTCTTAAAATGGCCTAAAGTAGCTGTGTGGCATATATGGCCTAACTGCATAAAAGCATGTCTCCATAATGTTGCATCTTTTTTTGAAGATGGACATTGTCATAATATCTCAAATCTATTCTGGCTTTGCACCAGTGCCACACATAAAGTTAGAAAAACGTCATGTAGAGAGATAGAAAATTGTGTCAGCTGTAGTTGGTTTTTTAAACCAGCAGCTTACTGATTTCCTCAGATTTCAGGACCAAAATCTACATGGACTGGGTGAATCCTAGAGATGTCACAAGAAGTGGACTTGTTCGTATGTATGTATGTATGTATGTATGTATGTATGTATGTATGTATGTATGTATGTATGTATGTATGTATGTATGTATGTATGTATGTATGTATGTATGTATGTATGTATGTATGTATGTTTTATACACTGCCCCATTAGTGCAAGGGCACTACTCTGGGTGGTTTATAGTCAGCTAAAAAAATTCATATATGTAAAACACAAAGTAACAGTTAATCAACTGTTGTGTGACATGGGAAGATAATGTCTCTGTGTATACCTGAGAGAGTGAGACAGATAATGTCTCTTTCCTCTACCACTTCCATAAAAAATGCTGTGTGAAGCCAGGAGCAGCAATGAACGAATTAGAAAAGATCACCAAGTCTAAGGATGTGTCACTAGAGATGAAGGCCAAGATCATACACATTCTTGTATTCCTGATCATTATGTATGGGCATGAAAGCTGGACAGTAATAAGAGCTGACAGGAAAAAATGATTTGTTTGAAATATGATGCTGGAGGGGAGCTTTGCTGATACCCTGGACTACCAGAAAGATAAACAAGTGGGTCCTAGTCTCTGGAAGCCAAAATGTTGAAACTGAGGTTGTCCTACTTTGGGCCTTCATGAGAAGGCAAGACTCTCTGGAAAAGATAATGATGATGGGAAAGATGATGACCAAATACAAGATGGACTGACTCCCTAAAGGAAGCCACAGGCTGTCAGTTTACAAGAGCTGAGTTGAAGACAGGGCATTTCAGAGATCTCTCACTCATAGGATCACTATAACTTGGAGGTGATTTAATGGCATATAACAACAACAATATTGTCTGTAGCTGGCTATTATCCAAATTCTGTTATAATATATTTTCTTTTATGTGTTGATTTGTATGCATATAATAAATTAAATGAACTTAGTTTAAAATGTCTATTGCAATCAAATGTTGATAGGATTAGGACTATTCCATACGGAAGGGGCTTGTTGATATGTGCAGATTCTGACTCCCTGTTGTTTCTTATTTGGAAGGTATGTGTTTTGCAATTTTCTCAAATTAATTCCCTCAACAATTATACAGATTTTGATGAGCGGTGAGCCTCTTGTGGTCAATTCTTATCTCGTAGACAGATGAGACTGTAAACAGACAGATTTTAAGGAAAAGGTAAAAAATATTTCTGCGTATGAGCACTTAACCATGTAGTTAAAATTAAGCAAGCAGGTAGGGAAGAAATTAGCCTTATGCAGGAACTGCAAAGTTAAAATCATGAAGGAGACACAGTGCTGTGCCCACTTTGACCTCCCTCCCATAAGAGGTCAGTTTGGGAGAGTCTGAAGAGAGACTGTAGCTATGTTCAGCTCTACAGGGTAGAGTCCTCCATATGACTGAGTCTCCTGGGCAATACACTGAACACACTATGTATCTTCTACACACTCAGGTTAACACATCAGCATGAGGATATTTGTAGCTGAAGAGGTGGGGCCATCAGTGTAATCCCTCCACATTTTCAATTGTGTTGTACATTGTTAACCCACTCATCTTTCGTTTACAGAGACAACTCCCCGACATATCCCAGTGCACTTGAACAGAACTTGGACTCACAGAAAAGTCCAGTAATTTCAAGGGGACATAATTCTTAGTGACCTGTGTATATTGTGAATTGTGCTAGGCAACACATTGGATGTTTACAACTTTTTATTGTCTTCTGCTACCATGTTAGTGGGGTACCACAAAAGATACACATGTGCTTGAATGCAATACATGCTGTACATGGTCCTTTTAATTACCAAAGCAGGAGGTTTGAAAGCACCTCTTGGGCAGCCACTTGCACTGGGTAAGCCCCATCTCTGAGGATGTGCCCTGATTTGCTGAGAGGTTGGTGGGTTCCCCTTCTGTTTATACGCTTGCCTGCTCAGCTCACATCGTTTCCCTGCAAATTCTGACTTACAGAGACACCTTCCTGACATATCACACTGCAGTGACATGGATCCTAGACGGCTGCAGCCACACGGGATGCAAAACTGGTTTTCTGGGGCCCAAAAGTAATTGGGCTTTTGAAGAGAAAGAGCGGGAGAAAGAAGTCGAGAAAATAAAATGATATATTTTTTAAAAAGGCAGAAGAAAAATGCAGAAGAAAAAAGAAGCCTGTGAAAAACGACTATACATATATTCATTAAGTTTATTAGAACAAATATGAAATTAAAATTAAAAGACTCACAAGAACTCCAAGTTACAATTAAATAAATGCAATTGCTTTCTGTTCTATACTTCAAACATTTATTTGCATACATTTACAAAATAAAGCAAGCTTTGTTCTGAACTACTGCTGACAATGTTCCAATATTGGAACACTTGTGGCAACGAATTAATCCAAAATATGGAAATACAAGGGATAAATTATGAGTGACATTTTCTGAATTCTGAGAAATCCAGTTTTTGCTGTTTAAAAATATTTCTGGTTCTTTTCACAGCTTCTTACAGCACTCTGAACAGTAGTGTTTTAAAATGCTTTAAAGGCGCTTTCACGGAAGAAATGGAAGAAAAGTCTTCTAGAAGCTGTCTTTGAAGCTCCCCGAAAAAGACCACACAACAGAATTAGGATTCTCATTTCACTGGATAACTTTACATACTTATTGGCTCCAGGACATGCTGTGATTTTTGGTCTACTCACTTCAAGGTGCTCATTTGAAGGAGCATTTACATTTTTATAATCAACATCGAAATTAAAATTCTGCTCTGATCAAGGTGTGAAACAGTTATATGTACCTTTGATTGGCCAGGGAAAAGGCCACTCCTCTAGCCTTTAAATACCGTAGAGCCTTTGTGTTCACAATCACCTTGACTGACAAACCTGGAGGCCCACGGGGGATGTTCACCATTAATTCTTTCTTATTTAATGATCTTAAAAGGCCATCCTTTCCATTCAGCAGTAGATTTCAGTGTGGTACTATCTATGTGAAAAGATACTCAGTACAATTTTTAAAATCTAAGTACCAATAGAATGTTTTTTAATCAACAGTGTTAAGAATCTAAATTTACATTTAGAATCCCTAGGCAAACCTGGCACCAAAAAAAGAGTACAAAGCTTGTGTCAGGTGTGTGCTTCCTGCAGCTTATTCTAACACTTGCTGAGTTTAAAGAGAATGTACACAGGAGGCATTCCTGAGGACTTGTGGCTCTTGACTGCAGGAGAAATGCTCAGACGCAACTTGGACTTACGTATGTTTGTTTATCATACGTCATCAAATCAATTCTGACTTACAGCAGTCCTTTCCTAGAAGTGGTATATCATTCCCTTCTGCTGGGGCCATCCTGGGACTGTGCAGCTGGCCCAAGACCGTATAGTCTCTTCTCCCTGGAGACACACTGGGGAATAGAACTCCCACTCTCTGGCTCTTCAGCCAGATACCTAACTCACTGAGATATCCAGGAAGATCAAAGAAAAGTGAATTGATTTCTGAAGTACCTATTCCAGGGTAGATAAGCATCTAATTATGGCTGTAAAACATCCTCTTTCTTAGTGTTTTCAAACCTACATTAGTGAAAGACATGCAAATATCTTTCTTCTGTTTAGGAAAAACAGTGACCTATGGACTTTAGCTCTCTTAAAAAAGGAAAGCTTATCATGATTTCACCACCATCATCATCTTAGAAATGCTGAGCTGGAAGGGACCCTAGGGATCATCAAGTAAAACCCTTGTCAAGGAAGGCAGAGTGGGAAGTAGAACTCTTAGCTTAAACCACTGAGCTATCCAGCTTGCCCAATGGTGAATAAAAAGGTTCCCCTTGACATTTTAATCAGTCGTGTTCAACTCTAGGGGGCGGTGCTCATCCCCGTTTCCAAGCTGTAGAGCCAGCATTTGTCCGAAGACAGTTTCCGTTGTCACGTGGCCAGCGCGACTAAGATTCAGAACACTGTTTACCTTCCCACAGAGGTGGTACCTATTTATCTACTCGCATTTACATGCTTTCGAACTGCTAGGTTGGCGAGGAGTTGGGACAAAGGAACGGGAGCTCACTCCGTCGCGTGGATTCGATCTTACAACTGCTGGTCTTCTGACCCTGCAGCACACAAAGGCTTCTGCAGTTTAGCCCACAACGCCACCACGTCCCTCAATGGTAAATGGTAATGCTAAAAATATTTTATGGATTTCTTTCCCTTTCCTTTCCCTTTTCTTGACTTAGTTAAAAGCAGATACGGTCTGTCCACTGAAAACAGCAAAAAGGGTTGTTCCAGAAAAACAAAATTTAGAAATGCATACTGGATTTCGAGATGAAAAAAAACCACATTGACATCCTTTGTAGTAAAAACTTCCTATAAAGTTCATTTAAACTATCTGTTTTAATACAGAGGAAGTGGGATGAAGTATGAAATCTGGTACGAGTTTCTTACCTTACACTTATCACATCGACGTCCGATGACGTTGGGCTTGCAGTTGCACTGCCCAGTCTTAGAGTTGCAGATCTCTGAAAATGAGCCATTGACATTGCAACGGCAAGCTATAGGCAAACAAGAACAAATGTCATCCAGAGGTATGTTGATAGAACATGAAATGTACATGAAATAAAATGAGCATAATCCATATGTAGGTGCATATTAGGGAAAATCCAAATCTGGTGACAACCTCTATGCAAAAGATGATGCTGATTAAGTCTATACCTTCATCTCATATACAATGTGAAATGAGCTTACATCTCTTTTTGGGAATGAAGTATCAAAAATTAGCATCTGGGGCAGCCTGCAGTTGAAGTGCAAATCAGTTGCTGGTACATGATCGATCGATCGATCGATCGATCGATCGATCTATCTATCTATCTATCTATCTATCTATCTATCTATCTATCTATCTATCTATCTATCTATCTATCTATCTATCTATCTATCTATCTATCTATCTATCTATCTATCTATCTATCTGTCTATCTATCTATCTATCTATCTATCTATCTATCTATCTATCTATCTGTCTGTCTGTCTGTCTGTCTGTCTGTCTGTCTGTCTGTCTATCTGTCTATCTGTATATATATCTGATTCAAAATGTCAGTGGCATTTAAGTCCCATTAAAATCAACAAATCTAATCAGTATTCAACATTAAAATCAATAAACCCAATCAGTATCCATCCAGCATATATTTCCCAAATATTTGTTTAAAAGTACCTCAATACTCCAAGCTAGGAAACTGTTCTGCAATACAATTCCTGTCACCCTAACAAGAATTTTCAAATAGCAGGGATAATGGGAGTTGGCGTCTAAAGCTTTTACAGAAATCTGGAAGTTTGGCTGGGAAGATTGTTCTAGAACATTAAAATAATCTACCACTGACTGAAAGTTTTCCCAAACTGATGTGTTTCCTTTTTTCCTAAACTCTCCAGTCATCTGTCAGCATGACAGAAAAATTAAAATATAAATAAAATGGCAGTATTCTAGCAGAACTGGAAGGAGCAATCTTTCCTCCGCATTGCATTCATAGCATGCACCTCTTAATGGATTTGGATGGCTAAGAAAATCTTCTGAATCAGTTTTTCAAGTGGGCTTTCAAGTACAAAGGCTAAAAAGGGGTGGATGGGAGGAGTGAAGTTCTGTTATGATGGTCAGTGTAACACTGGATTTTACCCACAGAAATTGGGTAATAAGCCCTGGAATGGCATAGTTGCAGTGACTTCCTTGGTGGAAGTCTGAGACCTTTGATTCAGTGTTCAAGCTGTTTCTTGAGTTACAAATTACAACCATCTAATGTATACCAGGCTACTGAGTTGTGAGCTTTTTCTTACAAAACCAAGCCAGACTTAGTGCTACTCTTTTTTTAACCATTTAGGAATGGTCTGAAATTATATAGATAGAAATTAGGGCTGTAATTCCTCTAATCTGCCTTGTCACCTTCAATTGTATTATGTACCAATAATGTTTCCATAACTGAAAGTCAGTTCTGAACTATAATTCTAGAGCTAGTCTAAAATAAAATTCAAATATATCTGAGATGCTGGTTTGATGCCATTATTTTAAGAAACAAGAACATCTAGCAGTGTAGCATGCCTGGCAAAACCCAGTTATCATCTGAATTGCCTAATATAAATGAAGCTGCCACTGTTGGTAAGAAAAAAAAGAGGAGGAAAAGAAAAGGGAAATGACATCTCCAATTTTAATTTAAGAGCAAGGCTCTGATTTTTAAATTATTCTGAACATTTTCAGTCATGGTTTGGAGTAGAAATTCCATGCAACAAAATAAAGACACAGTCCCTTTTATTTCACAGCTTCAGGGCAAGCTTCATGGAAAGCTGCTAAAAAATATGTGAAAAAAGGAAACCTAGTTGTAATGGGGGAAAATAAATATAAAGTAACTGCAAACACAGGGGCATGAATATATTGAAAAAATTCTACTGTCAACTCAGCTAATGACAAAAAGCAAAGAATCTAAGTATACATTAAAAATCTATCTATCTTTAATGTCTTTTTAAATTATATCTTTTCACTCCAGAAACAGCTCCCTATACAGCTGTCTCTGCTGGGGAAACATTCAAAGCTTCAGCCCTGTCATTGCCTCAAGGAGAGAAACACTGAGATAGGAGCTACAATTTGGCATATAGTTTGATTTTTTTATTTTTTTGAAATCTGCTGCTTCTTAAATGACATCTTTAAAGAAAAAGTCACGAGGCACTATGCCAGTGAATTATTAATCAACACTGATGCAGTTTCTGATTTTGGGTTCTGGTCATAAATTACAAAACTGGCAAAAAAAAATCTTAAGGAAGGCTATCTGATACAACTATACCATATGAATCACACAGGAGAGAATAACTACAGTGCTACTGTTTTGGGCAGCCTCTCTCTTTCCCTTCACTAGCGTGGATACCTATTTATTGTTAGACGAAACTGAACGGAAGCACATATCATGTGTAGCAAAGATCAGTGGGCTATCAGAGAAAATGGCAACTTACATACAGTACATTTACTCAACTTACTGTTGGTCTTCATGTTTTTAGCATATGCTCCTCAATAGCAGGGTTGTTTTTTTTTTGGGGTGGGGGTTGTTTAGCTTTTTTTGCACCACTTAATATCTGGCTGTATTAATTTTGCTAAAGGCTGTGTTCTTTTACCCTTCCTTGTCCTTCTCATTTGAGCATGTCTTTAGACTGCCCAGAGTAGTTTATGATATATAATATAATATAATATAATATAATATAATATAATATAATATAATATGTGTGTGTGTTTAGTCGTTTAGTCAATATAATATAATGCAATGCAATGCAATGCAATGCAATGCAATGTAATGTACTATAAAGAAAGAACGAACGAAAGCTTTCTTGTCCCTGCTGCAAATTATTAATCATATTGGCATCATCTTAGACAGAATGGTACCATTGAGATCCTACATTGTAGATTCTGCATTGAATATTATTGTAATTTTGTACACTTCTTAAGCCTGCTGGATAGATCTGACCCCTTGAATTTTCATTTAAACTTTAGTTTTACCAGTCCTCCCCCTTTTTCATTGTCTCCTCTGAACTCAGATGTGCTTGTATTGGATTTCTTTGTAACTTTCTCACTTTACATATAAACTGAATTTAAAGCACTGTAAAACCTGGTTCACAACATTTACTTCTTGCACCAAGCCCTTGGCACCCTTTGATTAAGGTGGTTCAGAGCCACCTTCCCTGTGCTCTTCACCACTGACAACCATTGACTTCAGATAAGCATCCTCGACCAATTCCTTAAATAGCGGCTACCCAGATGTCCCAAATTCTACCAGCTCATACTCCTCTGTCTTTCTTAGGGTTTTGAACCAAGATATAGCAACAAAAAAAGTCTATGCACCTACCAGCCCTCACATAGCTCACCTTATTTGTCCACTGCAAGGAAGCAGAAAAAACAAAAAGAAGAGGGAACACATCAAGGTAAAACAAAGCAAGAAAACCCAACCAGAAAATACTGGAAAGAGGGTGTATTCCCACTCTCCCCACAAAATAAAAAACATCCAAAACATTGAAACCATTGATAGTTTGACCTGAACAGGTATTTATTTACAATAATCTTGTAAAATATTATCTGGGATACTGTGTCTGTGCACATGAACACACATACATACACATCTGTGTGTTTGTTTCTGTGTCCACATGTCCATATAGTAGATTTTTTAAATATAAATATTATGTTCCATGCCTTTCTGGGGCAGCCTCTCATGTTTAGCAGAAAGCAAAATGCATAAATCCAAATCACAATGGAACAAAACTACCCCTTCTAACCTTAAGGAATCTAATCTGGGCCACCAAAATAAAAACACATAAATTAAGGATACAGGCTGTAGTGAATATGGATGATAAATAGTTTTGCAGGCTTTCAAAAATATATAAATGTAATAAAATGCAGATTAATTCTCAATTCATCTGAATAAGAACGCAGTACAATAATACTTTACAGTGCGTGAGTACTGTATAATGTGTGACCACATCCACGAGGTCTCTCAGAGCACATATAATAATGAATCTGGCTAGCGAAAAAGGCTACCCAAACTACCAAGCTTGGGATAATGAGACATTTGCTGTATGTAATGCCATGCAAATCAATCCATGTCCCATTTGACAGACATTCATGAAATGTACCCATAGAGAATGAATGCATTCTGACAGGAGAAGGAAGAGTTTAGGACTTACGTTGACAGTTCCTCACATCAAGAGCATCTCCGAAATACCCGTCAGCACACTTCTCACAGTACTGGCCTGTTGTACCTGGCTTACATATCAAACAAGCTCCAGACAAGCTGTCACAGCTGCCAGGAATGGAGAAGTCAAGGTTGTCATTACACTGGCAAGGCTGGCATGATCCCCCTGGTATTAAAGGTTGTCCAAAATAGCCTTCTGCACACCTAGAGTGACAGACAGAACATCTTAAAGAACTGCCTTGGCCTGTTAGCAGTAGACAAAATGTTTACAATTCTGTTATCTTATGAATCACTAACGATAGCTTGATTTTCTCTCCATTATTTCTCAAGTTCTCTTCGTCTCCTCCACTTAAAACAAAACAAAACAAAACAAAGCCAAACACTCTAAGAGCACTGTTGATTCATTACTAGGGGAAATCCTGCCAGCTTCACTGGTTATTGGATTCTGGCAAGTGTGAATGGGGATGGTGGGGGTGGAGGGAACAGCAGGGAGAGACCTTGTCAGAGGAACTGATGAGACAAAAGCATAATATGAAATCTGTCCATTCACACTAAAGAAAATAGGGTTCCTGTTGAGAGCTCTTTGTATAAATATCTAAAATGATGTGCCAGTGTGCTAACTAACCAGCAAGGCTGCAGTCCTCCTCCTCAGAGGAAAGCACCTGTTAAAGATGGGAAACAAACAGTTCTTCCAAAACGGAGAAAGAAATACAGTATAAGCATAAGGAGAAAGAAAATATCTATGTATTACGAAGGAAAGTGTTGAATTATACATGCACACTCAATTGAAGGAAAGAAACTCTAACTTTACCTCATTCAGAGTGAAATCCCATGCTTATCTACCCTGAAGTAAGCCTCAAATGAGTTCAAAATGACTTACTTGCAGGTATGTGTGCATAAGATTGCACCTAAACAATAATTTGGATGCCACGTATCTGGGAACAGTTGCTAAATTGGCAGAAAGACATGTGTTCATTAGCAGGTGGTTCAACTATCTCTAAGTCCCCTGAGCTATATGGGGCATATTCCTGAGCAGACATATTTAGGGTGTTTTTTTTTACTCCAGTAAAATCTTTCATCTTCACTGCAGGCGAATAAGAATACTCATGAAAAAGACAGTTCCCTCTCACACATCTTGGGTAAATGTCTTAAAGCTAGGGTAAATGTTTAAAATGTTTAAAAGGAGTACACATCTCTTGCACATACACATGAGCGTCTTTCAGTGGTTGCACTGTAATCTAAATCAAAGCATCAGAAGTGCATCATATATAATCAGAATACAGATTATTAGGTATTTTTAAAAAACTTGTAGATGTAATTCCTCTTAACGTTCTGGCTACTGTTGTTTACTTATGCCATATTTTCATGCTAAGTATGCAAAGAGATACCAAACTCCACTCCCAAAGGACAGATGTTTCAATGAAAGCATATGTAGTCACGCCATTGACAAGATACACAACAAACAAGGGGTTCTGAAAAATCCTTTCATTGTCACTAATTCAGTTTCTAGATTATCACATTCAAGAAATCCCTTGCATCCATAAATCTACAAAAACATCCAGTTCTATACTTGTTTACTAAGAATTAAATCCAGTCCAGCTCAATAGGATTTACTGCTCATAAACTACAGTAAACAAATGAAGAAATGCATATAAATTAAACAAATAAAACTAATTGGAAAATTAGAAAATGATAAAATAATAAAGAAATAGGTATATGTGTGGGGAGATTGCAGCCTGACAGGTTTTTAGCCTTCATCCATCTTCTTGAGGCATGTGTTGCTTGAGGCACACTGAGACTAGATACATCAAAACAGCTAAAGGCATTTCCAGAGAAATATATTGGGTGTGCAGGTTCTCTCTCTCTCTCTCTCTCTCTCTCTCTCTCTGTCTTTGATTCCAAGGAATGGTCAACACCAGGAGAATATAAAATAGAAGAAGCCTGTATTATCTATGCATCTGAGCATATGCAAATAAGGTGTAAAGATGAAGATAGATTTGAAGACAATTGAAAGTGATATTCCAGAATAGTTGTGGTCCTTGGGATATAAATTCACTTCTTTTATCCTACAGTTGCCTCTGACCAAACAGGTTTTTGTACTGTTTCAAAAACATGCAACATATGTTTGATCAAAGGCAACTGTTAAGACAAAAGAAACATGGATAATATCATGTCAACAATGCCACAACCACATTCATCTCTCAGTTGATTCTGTCTGACTCTTTGGTTAGCTTCTTCCAGCCCTTTGTTGGAATATAATTTATATTAAGATTGGTGCTGGAAAAAAAGGTTAAGGGATTGGATAAATTAAAGCATTTGGAGCTATTCAAATGGAAGGAAGCAACAGATTTATATTAGAAGAGATGTATTCATTTTTTCTAAACCTATCCTAATATGAGAACTTGGGATCAGTTGAAATGATTGACAATAGACTCATGGCAGAGAAAAGGAAGCACTCCTTCAAATAGCTTGGAGCTTGGCTTTATTAACGAAAATTCATAGAATCCTCTCTCCAGCCCAGCCAATGCCTAGAGGAGATGGGGAGCTGTAATAATAATATGCTGTCAAGTCAATTCTGACTTATGGAACTTCCTTCCAGGGTTTTATAGGAATACCATATTCAGAAGTGGTTTACCATCCCTGTCTTCCAGGGCCACTGTGAGACTGTATAGCTTTTCTAAGGCTACACAGGCTGGCTCTTCTCCCAGGAGGCATAGTGAGGAATTCAACTCCCAAGATCTAAGTCTGGAACTAGACACCTAACTCATTGATCTATCCAGCCCCCCCCCAACTATTAGTATAGAGCAGTGGTTCCCAACCTTGGGGAATCTAGGTGTTCTTGGACTGCAGCCCCCAGAAACCCCAGCCAGCACAGTTGGTGGTAAAGACTTCTGGGAATTGTAGTCTAAGAATGCCTGGGTTACCCAAGGTTGGGAACCTCTGGTATAGAGGGTTGTAAATGCCGATTAGATAAATTTATGCCAATAAATCTAGCAATGAATAGTAGCCTTGGTGATTAAATTGAATGTTCAGCTTTAGCCAAAAACCACCAGCTAGGGCTGGGACATAAGGGCAGCAAAGGACTGCACTATCAAGTCTTGTGATGTCCTGGGACTTCCTAAAGTATCTGGCAGGTCAATGTGTCGGGCCACTAAACTAGACAGAGTCATGGTCCAACCAAGCAGACCACTTCTTTTGTTCTTAAATTATACAGAACCCATATAGAATGAGGGCTCTCATGTGGCCTGTACAATACAGTATTTGACTTCTGGAAGCAATACTGATACAACACCGATAGCTCCTTCAATTACTACTCATTTTCCCCCCGTCACTTATCTGGTTTCATTTTGTTCTTTTGTCTTTCATTTAGGCTTTTGTCGTGTATCCAATAATGCCAGCAGAAATGTACAAAGAAGAAATTCATCCCCCAAGGACTTGTGAGCACTGAACTGCTAATCATAAAAGACCCTCCTACTAATGACAATCCACTTTGATCATTTTCTTTCTGGCATTCTCATCTCTTCAGACACTGCTAATTAAAGTTAACAAAGCTTTCCCTTTTCCAAGTAGTTAGGAGTTATATTTTCTTTCTATGGTTACATCTTGCAGCGATTTCTGAACACCTGTTGAAAGCATGGAGGTGAGTGGGATTGGCCCATTTCTGTGTGTCCTCCATTTTGCTCCTCAACTCATCTCAGAATTTCCTTGTAAATTATCACTGTAATTTGCTTTTGCAACATCTCTGTATTTCTCCTTTATGACTGTTTCCACCTTGTGGTCCAATGTATTACACTCATGGGAGCATACACACAGCATAAGAAAGCCAAATGGAAGATTGGTACATATCTGATATGAATAAGTAAATTGGTATCTGATATGTCTCTCTTTTTTTTTTTTAAACCCTACCAAAATGGTTCTGGATGGCAACAGAATAGGGGTTGAGGGACATAAATAATATTACTGTTTTGAAAAGCTTTTAAAGAAAAGACATTCTGCATATTTTTCTTGTCCCTCCTAGCTGTAGCAAGAAATATATATCTCTTTGGCAGGTATATCTACACTGTGACAGCTATAAAGGCATTTTCTCCTTAGGGTACCTTCATTCAAATGGTGTCCCTTAGGTTACAGATGCACAGCACAGAATTACAAAGCATCAGATCAAGCTATTCAAAGCAGATTACTTGTGGAAATTGTTATTACTCAGTGTGAATGAGGGAAAAGCATTAGAAGTAGGACTATGTATGCCGATTTCTGGAATAACAACACTTATGCAACAATGGAGAAATGTGTCAGATGCACAAACCCCAGTATGCCTTTTTTCATTTACATATTTTTATGAAACTGAAGCTTATAACACAAAATGGTATTGTTGCATCACTTCAGCTGGATGCAAGAAGAAATCAGTTGATTAATACTTTTGTAATAGTACAGCATCCAGAAGGAATCTAGGCCATCTTCCAGTTTACAGCAACCACTCATTTATGCTCTCCCTCTTCTACTTGCTCTCTCCCTCTCTTAGAAAATTCAGAATGCCTTTGCTTTCTCGTAGCTGTGATAAAATTAACAAGCTTCTTCTGCCCTTTTGAAATAATTTCTACACTTGGTCCTTACACTTGAGTCTTTCTGAATTCAAATGTTACTTTCTTTGCCAAGCATGAGTTGGCCCCAGTTTATCTTGGGCCCTGAGATGTGCTTGCTCAGACAGAAGATGATGAGACCAGGAATGAAAAGAGAGAAAAGAACTGAATTCTGTCAAAGGCAGAGGGATAGAGAGCCTCAAATATAAGGATTAGGGCAAGAAATTGAACCAGCTGAGAAATTTTACAGGAAGAGGATGGGTTGACCTGAGGCTGGTGCTACCTGGTCAAATACTACAGGATTTGCTCCACTTATAAAATGGGTGAATTAAAAGTTTTTTTTTTTTTACTGACCACATGACACAAAGGTTGATTCAAATCAGTCCAGCCCTTTTTGTTGGCTTTTTCTCTCAGCTAGTGAAGTTGGCTTCTACTTTTTCAAATCAGAATGATTCAAATGGGCTTTTTTTAAAAAAAAATGTGTTTAGGTATGATATTGGGTGGCATGTTTGTAGGTGGTGTTTTGGTGATGTAGGCAGTTGGGGTATGATGTTCAGGACTGGAAAGGAAAGAAGGGGGCCGTGGGCTGGAGCAGGATTAGCATCACATCCAATATGAACAGTGAAC